CTTAAAAAATTTTGAAAACCAAAACTTTCTCTTAATAAGCTACCATACTGGATAGCCATGTATTCTGTTTTTATCTCTAATTTTGCTTAGATGCATTCTTCTGCTCTTTGTCCTATCGCAACAAAATTTAAAATGTAACATTTCTAGAACATACATGATTAATCTGCTACACTGTGGTTTATTACATCTATAGGACTTCCTTCACTCCAGATCTACTATGTATGCTTAAACATTTATCTACCTGTGTCATTCCCAAACCATCACACATATTATATACATTTATAGATAGATAGACAGATAGATATAAATATATATATATATACACACACACACACATGTGGGCATGCACATATGTTGGGTACTGCCGACTTCAATAAAAAAGGGAGCTGCACAGTTAAATATTATAGCAGTCCCATAATATACAAAATTTGAACATTCTATGGCTAATTATTTTTGAGTTATGCAAGATTCATACATATTTGTACATATAGCACAAAAGAATGCCTTTTGACCAGTTTAACCATCCGTTTTAGGAAAAAAATCCTTTATTCTGTCCGTATGTACAGACGTCATGCGAAAAAAATCATCCACATAGATTTGGGAATGGTCAAAATGTATATTTCCATTGAAATATGATATACCCAAAATGTTTCATGATTACAATACTTCCTTTACTTCACACAAGGAAGTAAAAAAGTAAGTTTTACTTTTTCACTGTTTGTTTTGCTGTTCAATTTAACTCAAAAAAAAATTATTTCTTAAAGCAAACAGAAAAGGTTGAATCAGAGATATGGACAGTCATATGGGCAGAATACAGGAATAGTAAAACAAATGAAGATCCTATACCTGGACTATTGCTAGCTTCTCTTGTACATCTTCCAATGTGCCTTCTGGTGACTGACATTGTTCAAGTTTTGCTTTTATTTCAGTTAAAGTTTTCTCAAATTCTGATGTATGATTTATAAAATCTTGATGATCAATTACATACTGGTTCCATTTCGTGTAAGTATCCTAAAAGACAACTTACAATAAAGAAAATGCTTTTATATACAGTATATATATGCACTCAAAAATATAATATTTATATTTTTTAGCTATAGAAACTATGAATTAAAGAAAACTTTTTCTCACTATGCTTCCTTTCATAGAGTTAGAAAACAGATGAAGCAAATGTATAGCTAACATTTAGAAATATTTCCAATCAAGTAATAGAATTTAATCTGTAAACAAAAGTATTTTGGGGCAAAAAAATGAAGTAAAAGAAATTGAGATTTTTACCCTAGCAAGTGAAACTAAAATTTGGTAATGGATTCCTAATTCACTAAGTTGACTAACACGACGCTTGCTTGGTCCCTTATGGAGCTGATGGATTTTATCAGTGAGAGCATCTATTTCAAGTTCTTTCTCTCTTATATCTCCTTGGATGTTCTTGAATGGAAATGACAAATATTACTAACATTATAATCACAAGGATAATAACATAAACTTATTTAATTAAATTCAGCAAAAACATGTAACAAAATTTTTCAGTACCTAGTATTTTAAAAAATTTCTTCCAAAGATGAAACCTTTAGAAATTTTCATTAATCAGGAAATAAAATATAAAAATCAAAATAATATGTACTAATATTATATAATCAAAGGGAAAATGTTCTGCACAATAGCAGTGAAGAGATTAAAATTATCACATTTTCTTAAATTTAATTTTATGTCATTTTTACCGTGTTCTTCCATTTGCTTTTAGTTTAAACTTTATTTATACGGTCTAGCTCGTACTTAAAGAATTTTTTTTCTTTGGTAGCTTTAAAGTTTACAATTTTCCTTTCTATTCCTAGAAAATAATTCTGTTCTATTAAATAAATTATACATAGATTTATGTATACAGTCGAATGAAAAAAAAAAAAAAAAAATTTTTTTTTTTTTTTGAGGTTTCAGAGATACAGAAAGGTGCTGCAACAATTATTCTACATTTAGTTTAAAACTTGGAGAGTCAAAAACTTCAGATGATTACCTCCTCATACATTAATAAAAACATAAGATTTGTCACTTGCAGATTTGTGTTACATATTTTAAATGACACAAGAATGAACTACTTTTGCATCCATTAATGACATAATGCGGATAAAGGTCATAAATATTCTCAGCCAGCATCCTCCACCCAAAAAAAATTGTTAAAGCTTCAGATGGCATACAGTCCAAAATACATCAATTACATTTGCAGATAATAAAGATGGAGTTTCATCCAAAAGGAAGGAGGGACAAAGATATCATTTTCTTCACTTTTAATGTACTTAATCCCTCGTTTCCCCATCCTTTCTTGATGTAACTGGAAGCATGCTCAACACATAGTCAGGAGGCCCAAGGTTTGAATCCTGATGAGGATACTGTGGATTTCTTTGACTTTCTGACTTAAAAAAACTCTACAAGTGGCACACAAACTAAAAGGTGGTGGATGATAATTCATCACCATCAGGATTTGGCAATTGGGTCCCCTAATCCACAGTCATCCTTAAAAAACGGGATTACATAAGGGATTTTCTCCCTCCTTTCCCCACGCCTTTGTCGTGTAACTGAAACTGTATTCAGGATGTCTATTCAGGATGGATAAGTTGAAATCCCAGTAAAGGCAGTACAGGTTTCTTTGATTTCCTGACTTAGAAAAATTCTAAAAGACAACAGCTTCATGAAAATAATAGCAAAATAAAGTAATATAAAAAAAGGGAATAAAAGAAGAAAAAGAGAGAGAAATACAAGTTTTGAATTTTTAAATTATTGCAAAGCAAAAGGTGTGTGAAAAGTTTTTCATTTGTGAAGCATAGAAAAAAATGCATTAAATCAGTGGAACATATTCTGACAAAAAAAATTGCTTTTTATTTAAATAACAGATATTTATTTTCAGTACTGAAATCAATTATAATTAACCAGTGCTTAAATTGCGCCAGAGACCACCGGAGCCTGGCTCAGGTACTTCTCAATTTTTAAGATAAATTACAATTTTAGCCAGAGCACACCAGAGCCCTAAATAAGATGAGTTCCGGTACTTCTTTTTATAAAACTGAACCACAATTTAAAGGAAGGGGAAATGTAGAATTCCTAACATTTTAGTTTAACAATAAGCAGACCTTGCAATACTCTATTTCCCCAGAAATATGAACTCATGAGAACATGAGACGTTCAAGTAAAGTTCCCTCACCCACCTGCGCAAATCTTTTCCTTTAAGAAGGGCAATAAATTTGGGGGAGTTTGTTTAAGAACACGTAAATTTCTCACCATGCTATCATATCTAGTGTATTGTTATTGATGTTTACAGTTAGTTATCCTCGCAGGAAGGAAAATTTGTGTTCTTAAATGTGCCTTAAATGACAGCAAGTACAATAAGAGTGAAATACTGAGAAACTGCTCAAGCACGTCATATACATCATCTTCCCACAGTATTTACTAATGGGGGGAGCGTAACCAGCAACTTTACATTCATCCTTAGGATTCAGATTCAGGACTCATTTTATCCCTGACTCACATCTGCTTGATGGCTATAATTACATCAGCAGAGAGCCACGGTCAAAGAGAACATTCTCTCTCACCAAGATTCCCTTCATTTATTGTTTACACCCACTCATACCCTCATTCTGTTTCGCCCTAGAATTTTCATCAGCTATACTTTAAGTATACTTAATTTTTGTGATGATAAAAGAACTCCTCCCCATCAGAGCTTAAATTGGGCTGAAGCCACTGGATCTCAGCTCCGGTGCTTCTTAGTTTTTGTAATAAATCATAATTCTAGCCGTAATGCACACCGGAGCCCTGAATAAGAAGGCTGCAGCAGTTCTTTTATGTAATTGAAAAACAATTTCAGTAGAAATTTTACCTTGAAAATTTTATTTTAACAATAAAATTATATTAAAAATCACTTAAATTTTAATTTATCTCTTTACATTTTATTTAATTTTAATTATTTAAATACTTCAAAAATAATTAATAGTTCAATAATAAATTAACTATCTAATAATTATAAATTAAATTAAAAATTATTAATTATATAATAATTATTGATTAAATACAAATTATAAATATTAATTAAATAGCTATTAAGTATTCAATAATAATTATCAATTTAATTTAAAAATTATTAATGAATTTAATAGTCATTTTATTTATTTATTTACTCTTGTTCCTCTTTGCTGACGGTCTTCCATAGGGCTCCGGCACTTCTAATCTTAGAAATTAAGCATTGTAATTAAGAGAATGACCTGAAATAAGTTGGTTACCGATAAATAGATAACTGACTACCATTCCTCATGCAGATGAATTTCAGACTAAAAAAATTTTAAATAATCAGTCTTAATCATTATTCATATATCTTCTGAATAATTATTTTTCTCTCTCTTAAATGAATAAGAAAACCTAAATTTTTGTGAAATCTTGAAACATACCAACACTTACATCAAGAAATCATATCTGCTAATGCATGAATGCAGTGGAAATGAAGGTTCCTCTGCTACATTTGTTTGTAATATCGATAGAGTTTATAATGTTAAATTAAGGTTTTTAACTGTCAGATTACATGATAAATATGATAAACTTAGCATTCAATTCTCTTTGCAAATCTGAGAAATGTAACTTGTTAGATACTGGACCTTTCTTTATTTAGATATTTATACAACAGTATATAATGATAAAAGAATAAACATGTGTAGCAAATAAAACTACCTAATTTTCCAAATCAATAAAATACAGGAATACAATTTACTTTCAATTTTTCAAGCTGAGCCCTCTTTTCAGGTAAACCTTCTTTCAAACAAATATTTTGAAGAGAACTTTCTACATCTTTCATCCATGCCATCATTTCTTTAACACGTTCTTCATAATCTGACCATTGCTTCATGAGATTTTCAAGTGATTCAGCAGCATCCTTAGCAGATGCTTCTATGAATTCAAATGATTCTCGTAGAGCTTTCAGCTCATTCTGAGGACTTTCATGGCCAGACTGGTGAGTTGAATTTAAAACTTTCTGTAGGCAACCTTCCAACGCAATTAATTTAGGCTTCTCATCAGGAATGGTAGCAATAACATTCTACATTAGATAATAAAAGTTTTTATTGAATAAAAAATTAATGCATATAGAATATGTTAATCAAAACTCATAAAAATGTGTATTTAGTATAATTTAAAGTCAAAATACAAGGATTCTAGACTTACTTTTATAGTCTGTAAGCTGCTCAAAAGAGAAATTCGATCTAGATTTGATTCATTGCAAGCAGTGATTGAAGACTGGGTTGCAGTTAACAAACTCTTTAGTTCAGCTGATGATTTGTTAAATTCTTCATGGTCATTAACAGAATTTTCATAAAAAGATATGTAATCCTGAAATTAAATAATACGTTAATATTATATTACAATAATTTCACAAACAGTAGTTAACATATTTAGAAACACTAAAAGAATAAAAGAAATTATTTAAAATATTTTACATAAATAATAGCATAAAATAATGCAAAAATTAATTTTAAATAGATTAAATTTAAAATTATTTGCTAGTTATTCAAAAAAATTCGTATTAAAACTATTCAAAAAAATTCGTATTAAAACTATTTAAAGTCCTGAAGAATTTTATATTAATTTTTCATATATGAATTCAAAACAATGAAAATGCACAATAAAACTTATATACACCAAATTTACCTTTATGCTTGATGTTATAGCACAGAAATTTGGATATAATCACCATCCCATTTGCTTCCATAAATTTACAGCAAGTTTTCCAGCAGAGGATTAAAAATTAATTTATTTACATATCTTTACCAAGTGTGTTTCTTTACTTTTATGCGTCCTGATGTTTCAAATAATACACAGTTAGGATATGCATATTTTTTATGTGTCCTGATGTTTCAAATAATATGCGGTTAGGATATGCATTTTCTCTTTAAAAAGTTTTCAGAATTGGATCCCGTAATTTAGTGTGCCAGGGACTCTTAAACCCTTCAGAAAGCTTCATAATTGTTTCAGTACACTGTCATATCGACATCAGACACACAGTACTTAGCTATATGTCTAATGTAGATACAAAACTAAATGTTTTTAGACAAAATATTTTGATTATCTATGCCATAGATAAATAAATTAACTCCTTCATGCGTTCATCAATAACTCATGTAATTCTGAAATATGTGGAAGAAATACATAAACTATACCTCAGACTTTTGTTTCAAAGATGCATGATTATTTGCTAACGCATTAATAGTTTGATCAATATCTTTAACTGCAACAGGCAAACAATCAGCAGAAAATTGTAGATTTTCAATAGCTCTTTCGTGACCATCAATATCAATCAGTAATGACTGCAATAAAAATATTATTAATTGCATTTTGATAAAGACTGATAAAAACGCAATAAAAATTCATATACTTAGATAAAAATGCAACTGACTTAAAACACTGAACACAAAAAGATAAAAAGGCTAATACCTTATATGTTCGCAATAAAGCTTTCTTTTCATCTAATGTACTGGCCAATTTTGGAGAATCATAAAAGTTTTTATTGCATGCAGAAACCCATGATTGTAATCGCTGCAGTGATTCTTCAAAATCAGTCCAAGCAAACTGAATGGATAAAAGTGACCTATCCAAACTGGCTGCATCATCAAATATTTTATCAAAAGCTGACTGTAAATTTTGTAACATCGCTTGAATAGTTTCCCAACCATCTTGGGAAGATCCCACTTGTAACTGCTCACCATACTGCACAGTAGCACTTAGCATATTCAGACCTGTATCCTTTGACTGCAGCAACTCCTAAAACGTGAGAGTATTATATGAAAAGTAATTTAACATTTGATTATAATCAAGCTTTCTAAGCATAAACGAGTTATTTATTCAAAAATATTCCTAATATATCAGTATTTAAATATCCAGCATACATATGGTACATCCAATAAATTAAATAATCATAAATTTAGAAAAAGGATTTCACATAGATTTCTTTATAATAAATCTAATTACACATTTGAGATAAAACTTATTATAGAATGTTTCTGCTTAAAATATTACTATATGCATATACATGATGTGCTAAAGTTTTAACAACTAAAAATAACATATTCAGTGTCAATATCAATATCAGTTGTAATCAGAACTGTATTTATAGGAGATAATATACTTTTATCTCAGGAATAGAGGGCCGGCTCTGGAGCATATGCAACCGGTATGGCTGCACTGAGCAGCAAAGTGTAGATGTGACAAAAATTTTTAGAATTTATTATGCAACCAGGCAACAGAGTTTTGGAGTTGAAGAGTTTGCATGCGGTGAGAAAAAGTCTAGTGCAGGCCCTGGAGAAATAAATGATTACAAATCATCATTTTTCATAAGTGACTACATCTTCACATAGCACCTTTTCCCATATGTGAATTTCTCTAAAGAAAATACACAATAAGAAGAATGTCTAAGTCCACTTTTACAGTTATGAAGGGTAAGTCTGTTTTCTTTTGAAATTATTGCAGAGAAGTCAAAATGAGTTTTCGGAAACTAAATTCCTCTCTTCAGGTTTGCATACATAAATGATAAAATTTTAAAATGAAGCTCATTATTATTTGGTACAATAATATGCTATTAAAACTGGTGATATAATAACCAGTTTTAATAGTTTAAATAATAATTTAATAATGATACTTTGCATTGCTTAAGCCAGTATTTTAGTCAAACCTATGTTATGAATTTTCTTCTAAAAATTAATTAGCTTAAAATTATTTTGCTAAGTATTTGACTGAAAGTATATAACTAACTTGACTGCTAATACAGAGCTATATATATATAGCTCTCAGTAAGAATTTCAAATTCAGCCTGATAATTTAATGGCCAGATTAAAAAATAGATTAAATTAATAAAGGCTGCCTTTCTTGACCTAACTAAGGCCTACAACAGGGTTTGGAAAAACAAACTTCTTTGTAAACTATACAATATTTTAATATCAGGGGAAAGATCTTATCCTGGATTGCAGACTTTTTAAATGCCAGAGGTATATTAGAGTGAAGTTTACAGACAGTGTTTCTGGAAGCCTCAGATTAAGTCAGCATATTCCCCAGGGATCTGTCCTTAGCCCCACACTGTTCTCCCTTTTTACTTCTGGAACTGGGGCTGGGATTAATGCCAATCACTGTACTGGTCTGTATATTGCTAATATAGTTATCTGGAGCAGCAATTCAAGTCTCACCTCTGCTCAGGCAAATATTAACTCATCCCTCCTAGACCTTGAGAATTTTGCTCTGCAGCACAAGATCGTTTTCCTTCCCTCAAAGTCTGTAGCCAGTATTTTTATCACCAATAGACATCTATATAACCTGTAACCTGACATCTTTCTACTAGGTAGAAGACTGAAATGTGAAAAAATTCGGATATATTTCGGATCAGGACATCTCAGCCAGGCTCATAATGATAATTTGGTTTTAAAACATAAACAGAGACTTAAAATTTTAAAATGTATCTCTAATAGTGACTGCGGTGTGGATGCTCGGACCCTAAGAAACACATAATATTGCCTTTATTAGGCCTGTCCTGGAATATGGTGTTCAGGTTTATCAGGCCGCTTCTAAACTAAATGTTTACATTTAGTTTAGAAGCGGATCAGAGATACATTTTAAAATTTTAAGTCTCTGTTTATGTTTTAAAACCAAATTATCATTATGAGCTGGCTGAGAATGTCCTGATCCGAAATATATCCAAATTTTTTCACATTTCAGTCTTCTACCTAGTAGAAAGATGTCAGGTTACAGGTTATATAGATGTCTATTGGTGATAAAAATACTGACTACAGACTTTGAGGGAAGGAAAACGATCTTGTGCTGCACAGCAAAATTCTCAAGGTCTAGGAGGGATGAGTTAATATTTGCCTGAGCAGAGGTGAGACTTGAATTGCTGCTCCAGATGACTATATTAGCAATATACAGACCCGTACAGTGATTGGCATTAATCCCAGCCCCAGTTCCAAAAGTAAAAAGGGAGAACAGTGTGGGGCTAAGGACAGATCCCTGGGGAATATGCTGACTTAATCTGAGGCTTCCAGAAACATGTCTGTAAACTTCACTCTAATATACCTCTGGCATTTAAAAAGTCTGCAATCCAGGATAAGATCTTTCCCCTGATATTAAAATATTGTATAGTTTACAAAGAAGTTTGTTTTTCCAAACCCTGTTGTAGGCCTTAGTTAGGTCAAGAAAGGCAGCCTTTATTAATTTAATCTATTTTTTAATCTGGCCATTAAATTATCAGGCTGAATTTGAAATTCTTACCGAGAGCTATATATATATAGCTCTGTATTAGCAGTCAAGTTAGTTAGTTTAGAAGCATTAGTAATGTTTACATTTACATGCTAAACTAAATGTTTACATTTAGTTTAGCATGTAAATGTTTACATTTAGCATAAATCTGTAATGCTGACAGAATGAATATGTGTTATTACATATTAATTCTGTCAGCAACCTAGATAAACTGGAAAGAGTACAACTGCCAGTTGCCAGAATCATTATTGGTCTCTGCAATACCTGCCCAACACATATTGAATTGTATGACAAAACCTCTAGGTATGTATGTATCTGGAACAACAATCATCGTCTGAAGAGAGAAAATCTGCTCAGCCATGCTGAAAGTGAGGAATGACTGAAGAAAGACGTTAAACATGTCTCTCTGGCCTGCTATTCACAGTATGCTATGATATTTAGCAATAGAGTTACCTTTAGGACCGAACTTTGCTCTTTACTAACAAACAAAGCTATGCAGCAAACTTACTAACAAAGCTATGCAGCGTCCTGATTATGTTATATAGCTTGCTTTTGAGGCTATTTACAAAATCTCTCATGATGCATTACAGATTCATACTGATGGTAGCAGGGTAACAGAATATTCATCATACAGAGGAATGAAAATAAGATTTCTAGGAGAAACCCTGACTACTGTTCCGTTTTTTTGGGGCAGAACTCATTGCTATTGAGGAGGCCTTGAGTTATTGCATCAATGAAGGAGTCAATACTGACAATCTGGACTCTGAGTGACAGCCAAAGCTCTATACAGTACTTGGCTAAGTGGTGGAAACATGAAGACAGAACTACTTTGAATAATGTCCAGCAATAGGGTTGCTTGAGTGCCCATAATAAGACATTTTTCAATGAGTGCTTTCACATGTGGAGATTTGTAGAACGGGATGGCAGATGGACTGGCCAGGAAGGGCAGTTTTAAAGATTCTCCTGATGATGTCCGCCTTTTTTTCTCGGAACTTGCTTCATGGGTCAAGTTAGAAATCAACACCTCTTGGAGAAAGCCCCCCCCCAATACATGACTACTATATAAGTAACTGTCCTGGTGCTGTCCTAACAAAGGCAAGCAATAGATTTGAACAAATAGCTCTAGCTAGGTTGTGTACTGGTCATCTACATGCTCCATGTTTTGTGTTGAGCATTAAAGTCTATCCCTTTTGCTCAAAATGCAACTTGACCCAAGCCAATCCTGCCCACATCTAGTCTTGTATTGGTTGTCTGAAGAGCCAACTGCTCTCCAGGAGTTGTTCTTCAGGGTTTTAAAATCCATGGGTTCATGCACCTGATCTGGTGTTGTGATCGATTGGATAATGCAAGGAACAAACACAAACAAAACACAGATGATATTTTATTTTTGAATAAAATAAAAAACATACTTCTACTTGATTAAGTTTCAACTGCAGTGTCTCTCGATTATCATATGGCATTGCATTAATTTTTGTATAACGAGAAGCAGCTTCTTCAATCCATTCAGAACATGCTTTGTATTTTTCATTAAACTGCAAATGATCATCAACATACTGTTCACATTTCCGTGCAAGTTCCTTTAAAAGAAAATTAATAAATTCTAACACGAACACATACACATATATATATCCTGTATATTATGAGTTTATGGCACAATTACTTTGCTTTAACATAAACTTTCTTTGCTTTATAAAAATCTGTACGAAAATTTAATCTTTTGCATGCATAAAAAATATAAACATAACAATTATATCAAACATTTACAATTAAGAAATTAAGAATATGTGCTATTTACACTTACTTTTATGAAACAGAATGATACTTGAATATCAGCGAATACCTATCAAAAATACATCCCTGAATCTGTTTCTTTTGAGCATTTGGAAACTGTAGAAGGTATTCGAATTTTTTCTACAAAGATAAGATTATCACACACTACACCCCCTCTATCTCTCTCTTTTTTTTTTAAATTTTTCTTTCTTGCTAAAATCTTTTCTTCAGAGGAAGATTTATTATTGTAGTTATTATTATATCAGCCTTAATTTCAGATGAATTAGAACAAGTAATTATATTCATTGCATTATTACTTTTGCAACCCCTTTCCCTTGAAATATCATGGCACATTATTTGTAGAATAATTGTCTCACATTAACTTTTACTGTATTTTGCATTACATACTAACTTGATTTGCTAAGAAATGAAGCAGAAGCAATTCACGATTTCCAGCCATGTGATATTTTGCCAAAAATCAGAAGTGTTCCAACTCTTATGCAATGAAATAGTATGCGATGGAAATGTAATATCAAAAAAAGCAGAGAAAGTGGTAGAATAAAACTGGGAACTGTTCAGGGGAATCACTTGCCATCTAATTTAGCCAGGTTGCTATGAAGGTATAAATAAACTGTGGAGAATAAAGATCTGATGGATGTGACTTTGATTGTGATTGCCAAACAGTACTCATCAGGAACTAAAAAAAACTTCTTTCATCAATATACTGGCCAAAAATATCTTATCACTAAAACGTGCCAACCGATGTGGGTGCTAGTTACACACACACAAGTAACAACAAAACATTACAAATTTTATTATTTAATTAAATAAAAAAGTACGACTATCATTCCATTAAAACAATCAAAAATTAGATATTCATAAATAGAAATAAAGCTATACTTTGACCTTTCATAATCTAAAAGCATGTGCATTTCATGTAAAGTGCAAAATTTTAGATGTTTCAAATATTGGAGAAGGCCTACTAATTTTTATTTAAATAAAAACTCTCATAAGCCTCTATTTGTGAAAATAAAGAATGTTTTAGGAATATTATGCTTTGAATTTTGGTAAGTTTAAAATGGTGCATGCTTTTAATCTAAAAATTTAGTATTTAAAAAAAGTAAGATTATGTTACAAAATGAACTTGAGGTCACATTTTCACATAAACTATAATTTTATAGTCTTTCACACTAAATGGTAAGATTAAAAATAATTTAGTTCATATGCTTACTTTGCATGTAAGATGCATTGACTGAAACCTTGAGATTAGCTGTGATGCTCCCATAGAAATTCTTATTTCACCACTGGAGGCAATTAATTCTTGAGATTCATCAGACAACACATCGAAATTGGCTTCCTTAGCTCGAAGCTCACTGAGTAATGCCTGGACAAGGAAAATAATTAAGAAACAAAGAAACACTAAAAAGAAGGGAAAATTAAAATTTTTTAATGCATGAAATCACAATAAATAAAATTATACCATGAAAATTATTCCATGAAAAATTATACCACTTTAGTTAAGAAAATTCTTTTCAACTTGACAAAATTATGCACATGTTATGTTATGTTATGAAGTAAAATGAATGCTGAGAATTTGATTTTTATATAGACCACCTCCCAGGTATGAAAAATTAAATTTACAAAAAAATAACATTTTTTTTTTTTTTTTTTTTTTTTTTTTTAGCATTTTCTTTCACATTTGATTTAGATGAGAATTTTCTGTTACAAATAGCTATCTAAAATTCAGGAACTCAAAATTAGAACAGCCTTTTAAAAAATACATCAGTTTTAAATATTAAATCATTAAAAACAAAAATTAAATGTATTACTAAAATCTTTCTTCACTTATTGCATACTAAAACTTAAATTTGTGTTTTCTATATATAAGAATATTTTGTGACCCTTTCCCCTAAACAACTGCATTCTTTCAGGTAAAGTTCACAGTATTTCCTTAGTACTTTAATTCAGATATATTTAAGTGCAAAATATTAATATATTAGTTTCTGTCTATTATTATAAATTATTTAATCTTTTTCAAATTTTGTCTAAGTTAAGACTAATTCAACTAAAGTTGCATAATAATTCATTACAAAAGCTACAGACTTTAGTAATGTTATCCTAGGATCATCAATAAATACTGATTATCATTATGCCAACGAATATGGCTATGAAATGACAATTAATTTAACAATGATTTTGGATAGGAAATCAATCAATCTGCCAGTGACTGAAGCTATGAAAATAGCATTAATTTTTATAATATAAATTTAGCTTATATATATTTAGAAAGGCACCACTAACTAAACATTTTAAATTGTAAAGTCACAATACATGCACAGCCAAGCAACTTTCATGACATGTCTTTTTAACAATACATAGAATCATTAAATGAACAAATTAAATTGGCACCCTGTTGGTATGGTTTAGGGAAGCCTGCTGCCATAGGTCTTGGTCTGAGTTCAAATATCACAGAGAAGGGATGGATGCTTTCAAGCGTATATGAGACCATTTAAAATACTGTCATACTGAAAGGCTTCTTGATAAGTTTGGTGGTAGGGGAAGAAGGGTGAGAGACCCTCAGATCTATCTGCCTGGAGATTCTCTTTCAAAACTGGGATGCAGTTGGGCATATATGTATTATCCCCTATAAAGTACCCAAGGTTTAAGCCAATAACAGGCACAATCCTTGCTTCTAGGCCATGATAAAATGGACTTGATTCGATGTGGCCTTCAGACAAGTGAGGTAAGTCACAGTAAGGGATCAGATATAGATCATCCCTCAGGTTGTTCTACCTGAAAATTGGAATTCAGCTTCATACTATCACCTGTATGACACCCAATGCTTTTGACAGTGACAAGCACACTCCTTTGCACAATTGGGCCATAATAAAATCTGTGGGCTTGATATAGCTTTGGATCACATCAGGAAAATTAGCAACAACCCAAATTAATTCATAGCCCTTATAAACAATCTACTGTAACTTTATTTTAAATCCAAATCCTTTTACCTGACAAATTTGATTTTTGAAGAGGTAAATTTAAGAATTAAAAAAACGTCCATATAACTAGATATTATTCACAAGGTAACCTTGCAAAATAATATTCAGCTTGATGAATTTCCAACAAGTGACATATCAAGCACTGAATTTTTTCTGCGTTGAAAAGGCTTGTGAGATTACGGAAATTATATGTTCTGCTTTGAGAAAAGGCTAATTTATATTATTTAAAGTACTACTACTAAAGCACTTTGGTTCCTGAACTTTACAAACAGCAACTGAAGCAATTACATTGAAACTGAATTAAAGAAAACAAAGGCTGGCAATGGAACTAGGTACCTGATGATGCAAAATACACAAGAAAAAGCTACCAAGAAAACCATATAATCCTATGGTTAAAAAGTTCTCCTTACATAGCTTAATTTTTAAGATTAGCCACTTCAATCACATTTTCTTTCACTACGTACATTCCACATCATCAAACTTATGTAAAGTACATATAAGTCTGATGAATAAAGAGTTTGAAAAGGGCATTACCAACTGTACTAACTCAAAATCACCAATTTTTCGCTCTCTAAAGAGAAGATTCAACAGTTATTTAGCATATGGAATAAATGGAAGAAAAGACTTTTTTTTCAGTAAAATACATATCAATAAAAAAGGCTATAAATTAATATGCACATTTAATGTAATACAAGTAAAATACGGGTAAATGCATTACAAATATTAGAAATGAAACAAAAAATTACTAAATACCAAAAGAAGTTATAGTACTTGTTGGTTATACAGTAGCTTCCGGAATATTGTGAATAATCTATTTATATCTTTTGGTGATGAAATCTGTTTCCTATTTAGGAGGAAATTCCTTTTTATTTATCAAAATTGATATAAAGGCAGAGACAAGCTGCAGAGAATAATAATCTGCATGATGCCATTTTTAATATTTGGTATCTGTATTTAAAATAGCATTGCACAGATTATTATTCTCTGCAGCTTGTCTCTGCCTTCATAAGAATTTTGATAATTAAAAAGAAAGAAACCACAAGCTGTACCACATTTCTATTTATTCCCCCAATCTGCTGATTCCTACATGTGTTCCATTGTTTACATGTGGATGCCATTCTGGGTTTGAATTTGGCACTGAAATGAGAAAAAGAAGACTTCTCCAACCTTCTTTATCCGATTTCCCCCACAAAAAAGAGAGAAAGTTAAGAGAACATTAACAAGAAAAGAAAATGAAATAAAAAATCTCATTTTAACAGAAGAATCTGGAACAGATTCTAGGTTCACCAAATGCTCACAAAAATCAGTGTCACAGGTGTTATATTCGGCAATACATCAATAGGTACTAGGTAACCAACAAGTACTGAAATTATTATATATCCTAAAATAAATATGCTTACTTGTTCATTCAAATCCACACTATTAGCGCAAGTAAAAATAGTTGACTTATGGGCCAATATATCTTCAAGCAACATCTGATGCAAGCAAATGAAGTACCCATGTTGTAATGCAGGAAAACATGCAGAGCAAGATAACAAATGTGTTAAGCAAACTAAAACTACCAAAACCTCAAACCATCACCAAAATTCCAGTTAACATGCAATCAAAAATAATAAAATTTATGAACACAAATACATGAAAAGCACTAATAAATAAACTAAAAAAGCACTGAATTGCTCATAAAGCATTATAAAATGTAAACAAAAACGTACTTAAAATATTCAGTACATAACATATTTACTTCCAATAAAGGGAGTAAAAAACATATACAGACAATTAAAATTCTCACGCTTTGTTTTATTTTATGAATATGGGAAGGGAAGCAGCATACAACTCTTGCTATTCTCTCTAAAAATATATAAATTTAACTCAATCTAAGGGTGAATTTTGCCTTGTTTTAAAAATCCTTAATTTAAAATACTTAATTTCTATACCTTATGTAATTCCTAACAAAGTATTTTAATTAAAATATTAAAATGTTTGAAACATTAATTTTAATATGAAAACTAATTCAAAATTAAGCAGTTAGCTAGAATACCATGCAAATAAAAGATACTACAGTTAAGAGAATTCAGTTATATGTATTAAACTAGATAATCATTGCCTTCATTATCAAACTAGAATGATGCTATTTATATAAATGCTTAAAATAGACCTTGGTTTTTTTTTAAACTGAAAAAAGAGGGGGGAAAAGACAGAGAACACCTCAGTGAATTTAAAGGCAAGACAAATTTTTAAAGGTATTTAAATTTATGTCATAATCTCATAATTAAGATTTGAAAAAATGGGAGATTTAAATAAAGTTACACTTTTAATGGATTTAGTGTCAAATATAATTTATTTCACTTTTAGTTCAATTTAAAATTTTATGTTTGAGTAGATTATTCTATATTTAAAAAAATTCTGAAACACTACAAATTGTTGAATTACACAAAAAAGGGGAAAAGTATGATGTGCTTATTTAAATCACTAAGGCATTAACATGGTTGATTTACCAATATGAAAAATATTCAAAATTGTGGTTATATTTGCATGAATTTTGTATGCATAAATTTTACTATATCATGACATAATACATAATTTCAGTGGCATTTTGAATTAACAGAATCATTTGTATTCATCTATAAAAAAGAAGAATGTAAAATGAGATTTTATATATGATTGAATTTGCACTTCAGGTAAAATAAGCATTGCGCAATGGGATAATACTTGCACATCTTTTAATATTTAATTATCAAATTTCAGATTTAAATTTTGACGATCAGATAGAAATTTCAGTTAATTATTTTTTTATTATTTTTCATTTGCTTGATACATATATTGCATTATTATGGCTCATTGTGACCTTAAAACTATAGTTTGTAATACATCATAGTTTAATTCAGCTCATTGCATTTATCAGGAGAAAAAAAGTTTTACATGAACAGGACTTTGAATTTTTTTACCCCATCAAGAAAGGATGTTTGGTCCACATAGTATTAATAGTGATTTATTGGGATTCTATTTTGAAGAGTGTTAATTATGAACACAAATTAATTTTAATTTAAACAGCAACATATATTTTCAGTAAACAGTTAAGTTTTAATCACGTAATTAATCTCCTTCACCATTCTGTGCAAGACATTTGAACACAGCAAAAAAGTTGTTATACTTAAAAATATTTTACTAGGAAAAATAACTCTGATATTGAAAAGTTATGAATATGCTACATACTTATAAGACTAAACAACCTGAAACTGAAATCTAAAACATGCCATGCAATTAGCACTGAAGCACTAAATATAACTAAAATGAGATGCATTAAGCACAGATAAAACAATAATAAACTGATGTTAAAAATAACCTGGAATTTGTCACGTTGCTCAATCTTCTCTTCTATAGTTGTTTTCAAAGAGAAATTTTTAATTTTATGCTCCATATTTTCAAGCCACACTGTCAAAGCACTGCATTTTTCATCATAAGTTTCCCACTGTTTTATCTTTTCAGCAATTTCTCTTAAAGTTTCATCAGTCTTGGTTATTATATCTTCATACCTCTTTTCTAAAAAAGCATGGCCTTTCACAAGCTGATCAAAGTCATGTGGAGTTATTAAAGAAAATAATTTCTGAACACTTTCTCCATACAAATCTATTTTTGATTTTCCATCAGGTAAACCTTCTTTCAATTCCTATAAAATTGGAAAGAAAGAATATATTAAAATACACCTATACCATAATGAAAACTTTGTAACATAAAATGATCAGATTTTGAAAATTCTACAATAAAATAAACTAATCAGCAATAGGTTCAATCATAATACTGTGTTCAATATAATTTCATAAGCATTAAGTAAATTATAAGCAATTTCTTCAAACTTTATTTCATAATTTATCATATTATGATATTTCACTGTTTTCTGTAAACATCTAATCTATATGGAAAACAAAAAGTCCACAAAAGTTCTTTAAAGGGAATGCAGAATGGGATGTTTAATGAAATACATATCAGTGCCTCCTAATCCAAATCATTACATATTTTAGCTATGATGATATGGGAATGTTGCAGATATGTTGTTGAATCATGAAAGAGTAGTTGCAGATGTGGCTGAATTAATAACCTTCTTTTTTATTTGTGGTTAACACACACTTAAGTAAATGCAAATGAGCACAATAAGCATGCCTGTTCATGAAATTTTTACATTTTCCTAAATGTGACTACAGAAGCTGGGGGAAAGTACAAAAAAAAAAAAAAAAAAAAAAAAAAAAAATTTTATAAAACTGCTTCTTTTAAATTTAAAAAACCCTAACATGAAAATTTACATCATTTAAAATATTCTTAAAATTGGGAATATATCTTTATGACCAATTGTTTCAAAAATAAAGACTTTTGTAAACATGGTATATTTATTATATATATTGTTTCTTTTTTAATTACATTTTTCATTGTTTCTGTTACATTAACTTAATTTTACTAATTTCACCACTGTTGTAACCAGTTTCAAGTTTTCATATAAAAAGTTTAATTAAATTTTTCACTTTTTCTATTAAGACCTTTAATGTTTTCCCTACACCTTTTTCCTCAGATAGAATAATCAGGATTTCTATTCCTTTTGAACCCAAACTTTATATATATATGTTTAAATTTCGTTGTTTTGTAATTATATATATACAGAGAGAGGGAGAGAAATAAAGTGCTAAAAGTACCATAAAGACATATGTAGCATATATCTATGATGGTTTGTGTTGTTTTGTCGAAGAATTTCATTGAAGAATGGCTGCCAGAATCTCAAGGAGGTTGGACTTCTATTTCCACCCCAATTTTGAGGGAAATAACCCTGAAGGGTGGTCCAAGGGTCTCCCACCCCTCTCCCCTATGGTCCACACATGAGGACTTTTGACATGCCAAATATTTAGAGTCCTCCCATGTTACAAAGACACTAAACATTCACAAACATCCATGCCTTCTTCGGGATTCAAAGCGGGCCCTTCGGTACAGTAGTAGGCTTCCCTAACCACTATACCATCTCGGTGGCATATGTATATGGTATAAAAGTATAAGACAGCTAAAACTGTTCTTAAAAGTTTAAAAAAAGAAAAGCAATTGCAATATTTTTAAGTTTCATTTCATTCAATTCTATGTAATGTAACATGAAGCTATACTGCCAAAAAATTTGATTCTATATAAAATCATCTTCTGTTCACTAATTTGTAGATTTTGATGAAAAACATTTTGTTATACTTTACTTACTTCCTCCTATATGTTCTCAAGATATAAATGCTGTAGACTTATTTATTTAGTTGTAATTTTTTAAATAACTAATGTAGAATGTGCATGCTTTTACTAATGATGATTTAATTTTTTAAAGATGATTTAATGTCCCAGTAAAATGTTTCCAGAAATAAAGTAAAAATCAAAAATATGACTTAAGATGTGTATTTATATCTTTCTAAGTCCTTTTTTTATATAACATATGATTCATTTTGATTGCATAGAATAAAGTGTTTTTTTAGATAAAATATATTTTACTTTCAAAATATACTTCTTTTCATTATGAAATTCTTTATTATATATACCATTCTTCACTGTTAAATACATAACATAAAAATAAAATATTTTCACACAATGAATATAAAATTTAGGTTTTAATAAAATCCTACATTATAAATAAGTTTTTTAAACATCTTCTACTTCTAACATTTTTAAAACGCTAGTATTATCTTGCTTAAACTATTTATCCGAAGTACCCACAATCAGAAAATCTTAGAAAGGGATAATGCTTTAACACTTAATGTATTTTATGTATAAAAAAATAAAACTAACCTTTAGTTTCTCTTCTTTTGTTTTCAAGGCCGTCCTATTACCAGAAAAGTCAGAGCACAAGACCAGCTTTTCTTCAGTTTTCTGACACCATTCTTCAGATGCTTCTTTTAGGTCCATACACTTCTGATACAAAGTAGATAACAATTCTGTTTTTCCCATATGATCCTGAAAAACATGAAATATGATTTAAAATGCCTAATTTTCATCCATGTGACTTTGCCTGAGAAAATGAAACAGTTCCTGTAACTTAATATTTATTTTTTTTTTAAAGTGCCCTTCAGTCGGAATTTTTTTTGGTTGGTTTGTATTTGCAGTTAAAAAAAAAGTTAAATACCAATGATAATATCAAAATTAGCCAAATTCAAAAAATAGTCGAAAGTTAGAGCTAATATAGTTTAATCAAATAATTATACACTAATGCATGTACTTAAATGTAAGAAAAGACCTTTAAAGTTACATGGCATTAAAAAAAATAAAATAAGTATTAACGAAGAGCATCAAACAGGATGTTAACATTTGTACAATACAATTAAAGTTATCCTACAGTCATAAAATTTTGCATACAATCCACATATGTACACAACTGTTTACTTTTTACTAATGTGGAATTAATGCAATCTTAATAACTTTTAAAGAATTAATCAATAAACATGTAAATGTAAATAATCAACTAATTTTTCTCTTTAAATTAATCTCACAGCATTATTTTCATAAAGCAGTTTGCCTTAAATATATAAATATAATTTATTAATAGCAAAAATGTATCTTTAATATCTTATCTGGAAAACAAAGCATATATTCATTTTTCAATCTAGAATTCTGATTTTTGATTTACTTTCTACTATCTTTCAAAAATTACATTTATTTTATTGGTTGATTGCTTTATTCAAAAAGTAAATAAAATTTTGTTTGCAAACAAAAAAGACGTAATTGTTTTATATTTCAAGTTCCACTTTTCTTCTCCAAAAAATAGTCCTGAAAGAAAAAATTCTTAATATTTTGTCAATCAAGTTGCTTAAAAATGAATGCCTTTAATTGCTTCTTCTAATATCAGAAATCTGAATTTTTTATTTCACCTCTATTCACTTAAAGGAAAAAAAAAGGCTAATAAATTTCTCTTTAAAGTTTATTAACTTACGAAGTTTACCATGCATAAATTGAAAGAGGTTTTTCATAAGATTATATTCTCTTATTTTTTAACTTTCACACAAATACTTTATAGTTTATTTTACTACTAAAATTCCTCCTCTCCCATTTATGTACGATATTTCTTTACAAACTTATATTTCTCTGCTTGCTTTTCCCAAGGAAAGTGATATATATTGATACCACTAACCGACTAAATTTTATATAGTTCCACGCTCTTTATAAAAGCTGCATTTAACATGTTTAAGGAAGTTATATGATTATTTTATACAAAATGTATTCAAATACACATGCTTATATAATACAATACAGATAGCAAGCACTCAAGCAACCTAATTAAAGTTATAGACTACATTAAAGTATGATATTGTTCTAAAAACTAACAGTTAAATTCATACTGAACATTTTAAAATATAGTATAATATGAATTAAAAAATAATACTTTTATGTGGGTAACAAGCATATTAAAACGAGCAGTTGCTTCAAGAACAGACAATGGCAAATCTTCTTCTTTCATGAGTGGAGCAACTGACTGAACTTTTGACTGCAGTAAATCAAGTTGCCTTTTATGCGATTCAGTTTCTTGATGCAATGCCTAAAATGTTTTAAAGTACTTTAATTAAGAGCAGAAACAATAAATGAATCACTCAAAAATGGTTAAATTTTGCTAAATAAAATGCAAAAATTCCATCTTCCACATACCTTATATTTCAACAAATGAGTTGTTATATCTTGAAATGCAGTTCGATTTGCAGTATCAGAAGCAAGAGTCTTTTCAGTGTTATCCATCCAGTTCAATATCTAAGACAAAAGGTCAATTTAATTCCATACATAAGGAACTAGCAAATGAAATACCAGTATGAAAAAATCATTTAAAAAGCTCCTCATAGCTAAACTTATACATGTGTTAGCTAATATATGTGCAAGCTTATAGCTAACTAAATGAAATTAATTTTTAATGTGTGAATAAGCAATGATAATTGAATCTTTCTTAATGGATGACTTTAATAGCTGGACTTTTCAGTGGAATGATTTGCATTATATTTCAGTTAATTACACTGTGCTTCAGAATTAACAGTATTAAAATTTATGAAGTAGTGAACAATCAACCTAGATTGCAGTAGATAAATACCTAATATTTTGCATAAATTTTGACACTTGCAATGAATAAATTATAAAACAGTTTTTCTTCAGACCTCTCAGATTTTTAATGAAATTATTTCCATCATACATAATCAAAATACATACATTTAAAAACTAGATGTTAATTTTACTTAAAATTGTAAAATACCGTGAACAATTCAAGCATTACTGTTATGTTTTTGATAGCCTAGTATCTGTTTACATCAGAAGCAAACACAAATAGCAAAGTAAATTACTGTATTTTGACAGTGTCGGCTATTTTCTTACTTTAATGATATTTTGATATTACTTTTAAGACACATAACAGAAAGTTACAAACATGTGTGTTCTAATTCTATTTTTAGAAATATAAATCATACTGAATAAAAATGACATTCTAATGTTAATGACTGAGAAAAATGCAGAAATTATATGCAACTTATCTCACTTGTCTGATAGTAACATCAGAACAAGCCTAAGAAATTGATTGTGGCAAGGAGTGCAAGATTTTGCCTGTCATTGGCAAGAGCCTTGAGCACCATACAGGTGACAGTGCAACTTTGCTCAATTCCGCCCCCAAATTTGATTGAGAACACCCCAGAGGGTCAGGAGAAATACATGTAGAAGATAGCAAGCAATCTATATGTTTTCATAAAATTCCGTCAACCCAATTTGGTTTTATTTTAGATGCAAGTAATAGTGTATAAAAGAAGTAGAATTAGAAATTTTGTAAGCAATATATTACAGAATAATACAAAAGAAGTACATCTCGAAAGTTTGAAATCAATATATTACACAGTATTAAAAACATGTTTTATTTACCATATTTATGAAATAAAATGACACTTGTAACAAAACGCTACTAAGAATTACAGAAAATAACTTTTTAAATGATTTACCTTGTTGCACTCATCAGCAGTGAACTTTCACAATACTAAATATAAATAAAATATTTGCCATGCCTCTGATCTTTAAATGCAACAGAGATGATTTTACCACTAATTGAAAACAACATTGAATATAAGATCTTATAAGTCACTGAATAATAACTACATGCTTTTATATTTCTGATTTATTTGTAGGAAAAACTATTTGGTTTCTATTTGAAATTAATAGCACATTTTCAAAGGATTTAAAAAATTAAAAATTTGAATTTAAATATATATTAAATAAGATAAAAATATACAAGAAGCTCATACTTGTTTGAATGTATCTTTGAAACTGATCCAGTGCTGATTAAGAGCATCTAATTGCCTTTGTACTTCCAATACATTATTTGAGAAAAGATCAAACTTGTCCCGGAGCTCTCTTAATTTCACTCTGATTATTTCCCGTCCTGGTGCAGCAGTATCTTGGTATAATCTTTCACCAGACTGTATGGTCTCTGTCAATAACTGTTCACCTTGTAACTTGTCATTCACCAACATCTGCCAAAAAGAACAAGATTTCAGTTGTTTAAAGGTTAAAATGCATCTGAAAATGAAACAAAATAGTAATTCACTAGAAATAAAATGGCAGATTATTTTTCAGGAAACACATTAAAAAATTAAATGGAAGAGTTCAAAAACTTTGAAAGTGAAACCATTCACATCTGTTAATTACCTAAACGAGTCTATGGGCTCAAAAAGCCTCTATGTATAAACAAATATGATTTGCAAAAATTTTTTTTATAATTGTGTGTTTACAGATTCAATTCATGTTTGTTTAAAACTAAATCAACTTATTTCTCCCACATATAAATTTATTTAAGCTAGAAATAAAAGTACAAAATATTTTCTCATAGAATAAGTTTTCTTGTTCTATAAGAAAATATCTTAAATTTGTTACTAAAATGCACATTCACTTCCTAAATTAGAATGGTAAACTTGTCCCGGAGCAGAGTTACATAGAATTGAGTTTGTTACTAAAATGGCCATCCACTTCCTAGACATAAACATTAATGCTTGAAAAAGATATGTCTAGTTTTATTCAAGAACTACTACTAAAAAGAATCCTAAATTCTTGCGTTAACTATTAAGTTTTTTAAAATTTCATTAAAAAATATACAACCACAAATAAACCTTCTTCAGCTATCTGAAACCTTACTACAAAACTGTCTGGAGATGTAGCTTTCTATTATTGTTACTCACCTGATACAGACTTGTTTTAATTCAGTTTCAAATGTGTACAAGAGACAAGTTGAAAACACTGGGAAATCATTAAAGCCCTCACTACCTGATGAGATACTTGAATAATTGATCATATTTTGCATAAAATCGTCTGTATTTTAATGAGTTTTTGTGTATTATACAATAGCCTGAAGGTTGTGCATGTTTTAGTTATTATTTAGAAAATATTCTGTCAGCAATATATAATTTTTTAATTTTATATGATCTACCGGAAAGTTCTGTTTGTTTTTGGAATAAAATAAAATACAAGTTTATCTTACCGTCAATAAACTTTATTAAAATAATATAATTGCCATCATTATTAATGACTTCTTGCCAGAGTGAGGGCAATTTGTATATCTCATTTTTGAAAAATGATGTAACTTTTGATGCGAAAAATTGAGCTGGTGCTTGTTTGATATCTACTTTATTTTTGAATTTTTACCCTTCAAAAAAATTTTGTAAGGACAAAAACAAGTGACAGTCAGAGGGTGCTAAGTCTGGGGAATATGGTGTACGTGACAGAATTTCCCAGCCTAGTTCTGCAATTTTTTGACGAGTCCCCAAAGCAGCATGTGGTCTAGCATGATCATGATGCAGTATGATGTCCTTCCTGTTGAAAATCGCTGGCCTCTTTTCTTGGACTGTGGTCTTTAAAATGTCTAATTGCTGATGGTACTTTTCCGAATTGAGCTTTTTGTTCGGTTTTAAAAGCTCATAATGTACTGATGATCGAATGCCACATCATATACACAACATTCTCCTTATCCAGGGTCAAATTTGATTTAGAGGTGAGAGGGCTAAGTTTTCTGAGTTCACAATATGCCCTTTCCCTTATGATGTTTCCGTGGGTGATCCACTTTTCGTTACCAGTTATCATCCGGTTCAAGAAGGGCTTCATTTTGTTCAGAGTACGCAGACATTTGCATATGACGACTCGATCATCCAAATTCTTCTGACTTAATTCATGTGGAACCCATCTTGAATATTTCCACACCAATCCCATCTTCCGAATATGGTTCGAAATCATTTGCTGAGCTGAATTAAGCCTTTCTGCGATCTCTGATGTTGTCACAAAAGGATCTTGCTCCAACATGGCCATAACAAAACCGTCGCCTAGAACGTGGCTTATCAGAAAGTTCAAAATCCCCCGTTTCAAATTTTTTGAATCATCTTCTGGATACCTTTCAGAAACTGTACCTTAAACAAACACTTTCAATAAATTTCTACATGCTTCTGTAGCATTTCTTCCTTGTTGAAATTCATATAAAAAACAGTGGCGTAAATGAACTGTATCAGTGGCCGTGAGTACACTATCGTTTCACACTTAAGACTAACGTGAAGCAACTTTGTTTTAGTTAACTTGTTACTTCAGTATGTATACATTAAGTGATAAAAATAGACAGCCGAACATACGGCAAATAAACATGTGCTTATGTGTCGAAAATTGTTGTCATAAAATGGACATAACTTTCCTGTAGGCCGAATATTTTGATTATGATAATATCTACAGAGATTTGATATTTTAGTTCCATAAAACATTTGATCTATGCTTCTTATAGAATGATAAAGGATTTGTTTTAAAATATTTTAAATGATGTAAAATAAGAAACATTTAATGTCTGATGCCTAGTGCTATATTAATGAAATTCCGGTTTGGTTTAGTTAATTATGGCAAAACACTAGAGCTAACTGGCTTGTATACAAGTTACACATAGGGAAAACCACAAAAACAAATGAGATTCAGGTAAATGATCTAATCACTTTATCCTTTCCAATAAAGGTAACAAATATACTGAGCAGAAATTTTTTAAAATGTATGAAAATTCAAGAATGCTTATAATTAAAATTTCCATTTGTGAAGTTTTAAAACAAGAAACGAAAATGTTAACAATATTTTTGATAGAATGTTTTAAAACTCTCTAGTAGCAGTATGACATTCATTAGCTTGATTTGTAATGCAAAAATTGAAGCACAAAATTTATACATAGAGCCTACATAAAACTTCATTTTTAAAGCATTGTATCATATAAAAGAGATTACATTCAAGCACAAAGCGTATATTTTTTAACCATTTTTGTGTTTAACAAATTACGAATTTCATTTGAAAGGTTTGCATACTTCTCTGCATTACATTTTAATTGCCTAATTTTATGACACCATTAAATTTCTTTTGGTAAAAATAAATAAATTTCCCTTTAGTAGCATTGTCTATGATGCTTTCCCTCTCCTCTATAACAGTAGTTCAATAAAGTGCGAAACAGTACACATTTAAAGCAAGAAAATTACCTAAAATCCAATAATCAGAAACTGTACTTCCATAAATTCATCTGCATTATTTCAGATGCTATACTTTATATCAGAGCTTCTGAGAATTAAATAAAATATAAATCTAATTAATAAATAACCAAATTAAAAAAAATATGTTCAAGAATATATTGTGATGCTTCTACCCACAGAATATAAAATTCTATTCGATACTAATTACTCACAGATAGTTGTGTCAGGGAGCAAATGCTTTTGATCATCAAACAAAAAGACAAATGTAATTATATTAACCAAGTAAATAAGCCCAGAAAATTTCGTGGCATTATAATCATGGATGTCCAGAAACTAAAATGAATTCTGTTATTACAGTCCTTCTAATTTTGTAACACACTAAAAATGCATTCCACTGAATTGATTTATTTTGATTGAAATACTTGTTTAAATACGAAAATATTATCTTATTCATACCTGTAACTTTATCATGCTTTGTTCTATGCTCTCCTCAATCTCTACTTCTGCCAAAATCTTTCGCCCAGATGCTAACCATGCTTCAAATTCCTCTATTTTACGTTGATATGCTGTATGGTCTTGGATAATAGATTCCCAGCGAACCAATAAAGTCTACAACAAACAGAACATGAATTAATTTTACACAGCATATAGTATTCAAAATCTGTGACAAGTAAATTCTTGTATTGGTTTACAAGTTATTAATTGATTTCTTCTTTAGTACTCACCTTCACCAATGACACAAGATTTTGATATCTGACATTTAACTGGGATACTTGGAACTTAATACTTTCTACTCCAGAAGAATGAGTCAAGGAATGCGCTTCATCAGTTAAACTGTCGAGATCTTTCTGGTGAGCAATAATTTTTTCATAAAGGTCCTGAATAAAATTAAAATTATATGGTTTTTAAAAAGTAAATAAATTACTAAGTAAAATATAAAGTAATGTCTTCAAATATTAAATAAACATAACCAAAAACATCTTTCAAAGATAAAAAAGTCCTCAATCTAAAATCATAAAATATCTGCAATGATTTCATATTTCTATGTATGTAAATACAAGTACAGAGTAGCATTGAAAATGTCATATGATTTCTTTAAACAAATAATTAAATATAATAACTTATAGATATGGAAACGAAATACATTTAGAAAGTATTCTGAGTGATTATCTTTTCTTTGTCTAATTAAAAATGCATAAAACTGCATACCAGCTAATTATGCCATTTTGGGAATTAAAGTATATATTTTTTGGCAGAAGAGGAAAAAAAGCAGTTCTGAATTCTTTTATTTTGTGATCTTTTTAAAGATAGAAGGTTTAACTGTATGCTATCCTAAGTACTGTTAAACAACCAAGCTTAATAATAATTTATTTGATTTTTAAGGGGGAGGGAAAAATTTTCGGAGGAGGGGAGGGGCCTGAGATTGAACTGCTTGAAAACATGCCTTTTGCAGACTACAATCAGCTCGGAATATTAGGAAATTTATTAGCTTAATAGCTTGGAGATGGTTTTTATTTTTTAAGACAGGCCAACTGGTTTCTATCCAAGCTCCCCATCTCGTGCCCCAGACGTCACTTCCGTTTCAGAAGATGTAAATAAGTTGGGGGGGGGGTTGAACCAAAGCTAACGTGGTTGTCGTCTTTCTCAGAGCCGTATTATTCCATGCAGCTCTTAAATATCGTGTGCCCTCAAAATATACATTTTTAAATGGTTAATGAAGTAGTGTTTTTTACTTCTGTTGTTATAATGTTACCTATAATATTAAGCAGATAAGTTTTTATGAGTAACATTATAATGAAATAATATATTTCGAATGATATTTTTTTTTAATATTTACCTTTCGGAAGATGTTAGGTGTTACATCCAATAAATGATTTCAGTAAAATAAAGATTATTATCATTTTATTGGCTCTGTGAGATGACTGAGAAGTTTTATGCACTCCCAAAGTCACCAAAATTAACAAACTGGTGTGGTGTAATCTAAATTCAAATGACTTCAAACTGCATAAAAATAACAAAATGTATAATTTTTCTATTTTATTTATAATGATGTTCTAAGGAATTTAAATGCTATTTAAAATCTGTGGTATTGTTAAGTATGTTATGAATAAGGACAGGCAGTTGTGTCAAACTAAAATGCTGAAAGCGGTAGGTAAATAGATAAAGAAAAATGTCTTTAAAATATAGTTTGGGAAAAATGAATATGTTAACTGTGTTAAGTTGTGAATTCATTAACGCACTTCATGTACTATAACTAGCACTGATAAAGATAAAGTTTTCTTAATATCGATAAACAAAGTACATAAAAACATATTCCTACATATCATTAAAATATTAGTATTTTTCATGAATTCCAGAGAAAATATGCTAATGAATAATAAATACCATGGTCAAGAATTACCTAAACCTAAACAAACAAAAAAAAAAAAAAAAAAAAAGATTCCCTACCTTGATACATAAGAAAGGAATATCACCATGTAACACATTGTTCACTTGTGTCAATATCACAGGCATTTTCTTCAGATTCTCCATTGACAAGTTGTATCTGTTAAAATGCCCCTGAGGCAGGAAAACAATCATCTGCTGATGGGACAGGTGCATATTTAAAACATAGAGATTCACAGGATTCGTAACGATATCAAACATGTTTTCACAATGCTTGAACCTACACCTTTTTCAACGTAAATATTGAGACACATTTTTCATCACATCAAATGCATACAAAGAGGCTACTAAATTTAGATTCTGTTTCTCCAGGGAAGCTTGTATTTGAGAGAAATATGAAGCTATAAATGTGAGACTCTTATTTAGAGATGCCTTTTTAAATAACGCCTAAGCATTTTAATCGAAGAACATAAAAAATATTGACAGCATCTGTGGTTTTGACAAAATACTAGTCATTAGGGCCAACCTTACTGTATTTTCTGCCCACGAAAGCATACAGAAAGTAAAAATCTGTTAATCACCCTTCACTGAAACCAGAAATAACTGAATAAAGATAGAACATTTCACAAAGAAATCTATAAAAAAACTTCAGTATTTGGCATTCTGTGCAATCACCCTACCTCCACCTCTTAAAAACGCTACTACTCGCCAAAATAGCAAGCTCACGCTACCATATTCCTCACTTTTTCAAAACTGGATTTAAAGGCAACAATATATCAACTGCAATCTCTCTAAAGACTTTTGCTCTAGCAGGTAATTCTAAAAACATCCTTTTTACATTAGAAATAAGTTTGCAATTGTCTGTGAACAATTCATGAAACTTTTCGGCAAGGTGTACAGGGTGTGCATTTTAGATACAGTATTTTGAGAAACGACCCTGTAAATGCCCTCACCTTTTTTTATACATCTCATCATTCAGGAAAAGAATGGCATAGTCATGTTTACTTCTATTAAGACGAAATAAATTCTATTGATGAAACTTGAGATATACCGAAACTGTTGGTTTCTTTCTACATCTGCTATCAGGAGGAATATATCTGATATTTTAGGGTGTAAGGTTTTAGTTGCAATGTTACATATGAATTTTACCACAGCATTCATTCATGAAAATGAATTGCTGTCCAAAATCACACTTTGGATATCCTAAACTGCACCAATGTAAGCAGTATGTCAATATGTTCTTCTTAAAATAGATTTATAGGGAATTTATCACTTTCAAAATATCTTTTTGCAGATGGACTTTTAACTTTCCAAAATGTCATTCAATTCAAATCATTCATGAACTACTTATGACATGACATGCAGCTGTAAACACTAGTAAATGTTTTGTTGTTTCATTGGCATTACACTTCCTCTTAATTGTATGTTTGTGCTATGCTACAAAATAAAATTTTTGAGCACTAAGTGGTTTTTCTGGTGCTTATGTATCAATAAAAGTGTCCATTCCAAATTCTTTTGAAAAATTGTTCATTTTCCCTATCATTGAAAGCTCTTTCTTAAGCTTGGCAGTATAGCACATAAGGCAAAGCAAAGAAACAAATGAAACTGAGAGAAGAAATTTTGACAGAACCTAGTCATCACTCTGGCATTCATGCTGCTAAGTTCGTCAACAATAACCTTCCTGAAAAGGAGCATTTCATCCATTTATTTTTTTAGGTAATTTCTAATTATCACACCCCACCACCACCAAAAATTATAAATTTGTTGCCAACTTTGGAGAGAGATGTTTATTTGAGTACTTTTGTGTCTATTTTAATAATGCATCCAGTGCCACCTATTTCTTTTTTTCTACAATACACACATACTCTCCTTTTTTTTTTTTTTTTTTTTTTTTTTTGTGTGTGCTACTGTTTGATTTCTTGGACACAGCATTGAAATCAAAATTTTAAAATAAGAAGGTAAAAAAAAAGAGGTCCATAAAGCCTTTAACCCTTTGATGGGCGGCGGGACGGCTTTTTTTTTTATCAGTTTTTATCTCCAAGATGACAGCTGCAAAATTCTGTTTAAAATACATACAATAATACCTTTCAGTTTCCTAAATATATAACAGATGGTGGCACTAGTAATTCATAGAAATCATGTAGGAAAAAATTCTTTGCAGGTCTAATTTTGAAGCATTTTTTGTTTTAATTTCTTATGCAATTTAAATCATTTGGACAACTTTTGGTATTAGAATGAATATTTTTTTTCTTGCAGATAAAAAGTATTATTTGAATTCATATATATATATTAATTAAAAATGGTTGAAATGAAAAGGTGGGACAAATTTGTCCCATCACGCATGTAGGAAATACTGCTACTAGGGGACAGGACTATTGAAAATGTTTTCCGAACATTTGTTCCATTGTGATTTTGTACTTTAGGTTTCTGAAATTTTTTTGGTAGGTTTATGGTTATTTCTAAGGTATCACAAACTATAATAATCATATGAGATATGTTGATTAATTTGACCACTTAAAAATGTCTATATCAGACTGAGAGAAAAAGTGTCAAATGGTGGCACAGAATTTTTTTTCATTTCCTTGATGTTTGTGTAGTTAATTCATTCATATTGTGTAAACAGTTACCCGCAGAGTGAGAACATTTAAAATCTCTAAAATTGTTTAAAATGTATATAGCTGGAAATTTACTGAATATGAGTTCTATAAAGAGAAAAAAATACCAGAGTCCTGTACATGTAAAGTAATAGTAAAATTAATATAAGTTAATTTTACTAAGACATAGGTCATCAAATGAATTTTCAATATAATGTAATTTTTAAACAATGAAAATTTTAAGAAGAATGTTGCCCCTGAATATTTGTCTTGTTATTTATCATAACTGTGAGAGGAAAATTTTGTACTGATGTCCGAATTAAATTTTTCATTATTTTTTCTTCTTTTTGTTTGTTTAAAGGTTCTTTGCTGTACAATTTTTTTATTAGCTGGTATGTTTACAGTTGGAGGTTCAAAGTGTGGTATACTCGTATTTATTGCAGATTTATAAATTTTCTCCATTTTAGTTACTTCATTAGGTGTTGTTATTGAGTTTAGTAAGCTTGTAAATTTATTCAGCAGTGCTATTTTTCTTTCTGCTAATGTCAAAGTTTGTGATGTACTTTGCATTAATTCATTTACTATTACTATATCATTTGTGTCGTCTATTATCAATGAAGGATCATTACAGGAATCATGAACTGTATCTGCTGGACTGTTTTTTTCTGCATCTGGCATAAATAATGAATATGCTTACACATATTCCACTTAATTGAAGAATCTATACATGTGCACATATATGTGTGTATGCATACATTACATTCAGTACACTTCAATTCACAGTTACCCTCACTGATCACTTTTTGTATGGTATACAAATCTAAATTGCTTTCTGATGAAATAATCCAGCCACTTTCATTTTGTATAATTTGTGATGACAGTGTTAAGCTGGTTTTATATCTGTTTCTCAAGTCTCTAATTTTACTTGTCAATTTTCCTTTATTTGATGTAATGATTCTATCAAACATTTTATCCCTAATAAATTTCATAATTGCATGCACAGCCTTATCAAATCTTTTAACATTTTTTCCATGTAAATAAATATATGTACTTTAATGTTCGATGCATTCTTTCAATATGTATATTTGTATTTAATCCACAATGAACTCTGTGACAATAAGCCCAAGTAGTTGCATCTTTTAAATAATGTGTCGAAAAATAATTAGCAAAATCAAGTGTATCGGGATCAGTTTTCAAGTAATTTAACACAGCTTCTGCTGCAGTATTAAAACTCTGTATACACATTCTTGTAAAGAAGTGCGGAGAACTTGATACTCTTGGGCTTGTTTTTCTCTACCACTGATTTTTTTTAAAATTCTTCTTTCGCCATGCACGGTCAACATGCCATGCACAAAAGAGGCGTTTTTCACGTGTGCCCATCTCTGAAACCTATACATTAAAAAAAGAATCAGCCATATCTGACATGAAAACTTTTGGTTGTAATGTGCCAATGCTTTGCTTGATTATTGAGAAGAATATAGACAAAACTGGTTGGTCACTTCGATTCGAAATTAAAAATGCACAAGGAAATCCTTCTCTTAAATTGTTGACAGTTAATAAAACTATAAGCTCAAAGCCATATGCATTCATGCCATGAGTGCCATCTATACATACAGTTAGTCAATAAAGTCTGCGTACATCAAGAAAAGTAATATCAAATCCAAATTTATGGTGCGAAAAGGGTAGTTTCTTAAAGTTTTTTTTTTTTTTTAAATATTTAGTTTCAATAAGGGACTTTGAAATTATTTAACTGTAATATTTTCATATCTAATAATTTATGCACACTAAATTTTAAAAGATAAGTGGTCAGAAATCAAAGCCAATAAAGTTTGCGTACAACGCGAAGGAGGCGGGGTATTTCTTATCTAACTTTTAAACTTCAAACTTGAGAATGCAAAGAAGGTTACACTTTCAAGGTCATTGACTTCCGAAGCAAATTTCACGTTGATTGGAAGTTGTTATTTCTATTTTCTTTGACGAAAATGACAACCAATAAAGAAATTCCTTTAGTTACGAGACAACTAATTATCAAATTGAGAGATGAAGATAAAACTCTTCGTTATATTGGTAAAACCATTGGAAAACCATTTTCTAGTGGGCAAAGAGTTATTCAAAACTATCTTGACACTGATAGTCTTGCTGTAAAACCAAGATGTGGGAGACCGAAGAAGCTAACGCAGAGGGAAAAAAGAAAAATTCTTTTACGAATTAAACAAAATCCTAAACTTTCTGCTGCAAGCATTGCAAAAGACATTTTTTTAACTAGCAACAAGGAAATTTCTCCTGAAACTGTACGAAAAGTGCTGCGAAAGGCCGATTATCATGGACGCAAACCTAGGTCTAAGCCATACATTTCCGAGACAAATAGAAAGAAAAGAATTGCTTTTGCCAAAACATATTTAAACTCTTCGCAGGACTTCTAGAACAATGTAATTTGGTCAGATGAAAGTAAATTTACAATATTTAAAGTTAATGGCCACCCTATTGTATGGAGAAAACCAGGAACAGAACTGAATCTGAGAAATTTAAATCCAACTGTCAAACATGGAGCTGGCGGTGTAATGGTATGGGGGTGTATGTCGTCGAAAGGAGATGGAAATTTTCACATTATTGATAAAGTCATGGATAAGTATGTTTATCTGGATATTCTGAAGAAAAATCTGCGAGACAGTGCCCGAAATTTAAACCTTTCTAATACCTTTATTTTCCAACAAGACAACGACCCGAAACATAGAGCTAAAATTGTGAAGGAATATCTCCTCTATCACACTCCAAGACAATTGCGTACTCCTCCACAGTCACCAGACCTCAATCCAATCGAACATTTGTGGGTAAAATTGGAGAAACGAATTCGAAAACACAATATTACGTCGCGAAATGAGCTAATTAGTAAATTGCAGAAAGAATGGGCGAAATTTATGTCGGATGACACTGAAAAACTAGTTCAGTCAATGCCCAGACGTCTGCAGGCTGTTTTGAAGAATAAAGGATATCCTACAAAGTATTGAAGTAATGTAAAAAAACTTATATTTTACTTTTTTTTTTTTTTTTTTTTTGAAAGTGTACGCAGACTTATTGGATGGAATTTCTGAGTTTTTTTGAAAAAATTTAAAAAGTATTACACTGATATTATTTACTTTTTATTTAAGCTTACAATTTTAGCTAATAGAAGAAAAATATGCAATGATTAAAAAACATTTTTCTATGCTTTAAGTGTTTTTTTTAATTTAAAATTTAGTCTGTACACAGACTTTTGTAGCTAACTGTATGCAGTCTGAACTAAATTTTTTTAGCATTTCACTTTGTGATTATTGTCATCATATTTGTCATTATGATGAGAATAAAATCTTCTTCATCGTTAAGGAATGTATGTGTTGGGGATATTACACCTTGTGCCTTATAATATAACACGCATGAAATCTGTGAACTAAGCATTTCATTCACCCACATGTCAACCCTCACATAGTCATTACTATGCTTTAGCCGACCAGCGGTCGAGCAGTAAAGTCGCTGAACACTGGTAGTTCGGTCCGAGGTTCGAATCCCGCGAATGAGCTGGCTGCATGGGCGTTTTCGTGGTTTTCCCCATGTGTAACGTGTATACGAGCCAGTTTCCCTTAGAAAGTCCTCCACAAAGGCATCCCTTCCCTTAGGCAGATAGCCCTCGTGTGCTTTGCCATAATTAAATACACCAACACCATTACTATGCTTTACTGCACTGGAAGCTAACTCAAAACTTCGTTCAATGTTTTGCAGATCTTTTTTTGTTATTAGATGCAATCGTTCGAGGCCAGAATCAGATATGGAATCGTGAATTTCATCCAAAATTGCATCAAATGGTACTTTAGCAGCTATTTTTTGATGCAATAAAGGTTCTATCCTTACTTGAAAGGAAAAGATGACCCATATCATTTTCATGGCCTACATGTGTTTTTTCTGGAAATATGCATAGTATTCCTCTCGTTTTGATTTGACCAATTTTATTTTCGCAGGACAATAAGCATTAATTTTTTTACTGCCCAGTAGCTTTATGTGTCGCTTTCCAGAACTCTGTGAATGAAAATGCCCTGAACGGTGACATGTAAAATATGTAACTGTACCAGTGGCATTTGGTTTTCAGATACATGTATTATAAATTTCGACTTTATTTTCTAAATCATCTTTCCATTCAAGAAAACTTTCATAGGATTCAAATTTTAATTCTGATGTTTCAAGTTTTACATCATGAACTTGTAAAAAGTGTTCATTTATCAACTCATTTTCAAAATCCCCTTTACACAAAGGACATTTATACTGTCTCTTAGTTGAAATGTGATCACCATTACAACTAGAGTCACATATTTTGAGTTTGGATGTTTCACATACTTTTAAATTTAGAGACTGCAATATGTGTTCATCCGTTGGATAGCATTTTATTACATGCCTTTTCAAATTAAATTTGGAAAAAAAGAATTTCCCACGTCCGCATGGAAACTTGTTTGATGTAATCATATCCGTAGAAATATCCGAATTAGTTTATTTTCATCAGATTGAACATTTGGCTCTGAAAAGGGCCCTTTATTAAAGTGATCATTTGGTTTATTAAAGTGTCCTGAAAAGGACCGTTTTGTTTTAAAATGATCAGAGATGTTTGATCAAATTAGCTTGTAAACACTCGACTACGAAAAATGCAATACGTGGATTTCCGTTCACTAGCTATTCTATCATTTGAGATCCCTTCCCACAACCGGAAATGACATACTGCGAGCGAAGAGAGTGTGGAACTCTGGGATAGATGAGAACCAAATATCTAGGCGCTGTGTCCTGGGAAACGAGTGAGAGGGGTTTTGCGCTACGGAAAAGGAGTAAAATGAGATTTTAATAAAATATTGACGAAATAAATTTATACTAACTTAGCTAAATTCCTGAAATGGTACAATTATCTGCAATTTACAATTCTATTGCATATTGTTTGAAAACTCAACTCCAAAATGGAAATGCTTTTGCTAACGTCTCGTCTGTTTGTAAACAGTTTCGAAAACGTGTCGTTTGGAGTGTTCTAACTATTTAAATAACTGGACATTTCAAGTAAGGATTAAAAATACTCACTCTAATAGTTGGGAATCCAGAGTTAAGTACTACAGGGCTCTATTATTTCACTAATACTTGTCAATCTGTATATTAATGGTCTGTCTTCTACACCATACAACCATAGTGTCACCATACAACCATAGAGTGGGATTAATCCAGAACTCTGCAGACTTACCTTTGTGGATTTGAACCCCAGTCCGATTCACAATTCCTTTCTTGCTTTTTAGCTCCGAGAGTGGTCTTCATATGGATTTCACATTCTTAATTTTTTATACCCTAGGAAGTACATGAGATGAAGAGGTGAAAGCCCTCACCAGCCATAGACCTCTCCCAAAGTACTGATCTATGATGTATCGGTAGTCAATTGGGAATTGATTGTGCAGTTGGTAAAAAAATTACTTCTCGAGTGAAAGTTAGCGATTTCTTTTAAGGTTTATGCCTTAACAAGATCTCATTTGATAAATATGAATGTTGAATTTTGATGTCTTTCTTTCAAACCATATGGAAGTTCTTTCCCTGTGGAAATTTTGATACAGACAAATTTGTAATCTTCCAAAATTTTATTGATTTTACTGCTGAAAGAATGCATTGGTAAATTTAAATTTTTATGGGTTGCAGTTATGTTTTCGGAATGCTTAGTAAAAGGCATTTCTAAATATTGTCTCAGTTTTTTATAATTTTGTGCTGGGTTATTTTTTCTTGATGCTATAACCAGCATTTCTTAACATTTTTAACTTTTTGCAACTCTTGAAATAATATTTATACTTGAAGGAACTATTGCTTCAATACTTAGATAATGTAAGGGTTGTAATTTTATTCCAAAATAAGAAGTTTAGAGGATTTTGGGCATATCAAATTTTCATGCAACTCTGAAAAGTCTTTAGCAGCACAAAAGTGAACAGAAATTCCCTTCAAATAACAAACTGCAGTATTAAGGGGTAAATAAGTTACTTTGGTAATTAGTAGGAAATTATGGCAAAACATAAAAAAGGATAGTAAAAAGTAGTTCAGATAATAAATTACATTATTTTAACATAAAAAAACTACATTTCATTGATGCTTAATTCATTAAACATAACTAGTAATATCTATGACGCAGAAAATATGGTACTTGTCATTCATAATGGCCTTGGTGAGATAATGAATTTGGCACGTTTTCTCCATGGTGTACAGATGGTGGTAGGACTACTAGATAAGGGCTGATTTATGTACCAAAAAGAAAAGAGAGAGAGAGAAAGAAAGAAAAACATTATATATATACATATAAATAAATACTCAGTAATTTTGTTATTATCATTACATATATATGCTTTACTGATTAGAAAATAAATTATCTAACATGTCATGTTTTAAGAATTCAGTATTGAAAAATTATTATTTATTTACATATTAGTAACATATGAAAATATAATGGAAAATAAAAGAATATTATTTGTTATAATATAAAGCTTTTGTTACTTTTTTAAGGTCAGTATAAGTAATTTTCTATAGCAATGCATATATATTTTACCTTTCGAAAAGATATCTATTTTTCTCACTCAGAAATAGTAACATGTAAAAGCCATCTACGATGATAAGAAGTGCCATCTGTACCAATGGCAATTGGCAAGTATTGTAAGTATTTGGAGAAAAAGAATTCCTTAATCTCGCAACCTAGGAAGAGTTACAAGCAATTATAAGTTTACTATAACAAGCAATTATAAGTTTACTATAACAAGCAATTATAAGTTACTATAGTCACTGAATCAGTGCAGTGACTGATTACTGATTCAGTGCAAGAAATAAATAATTTGGAATAATAGCATTTTTTCCCATTGTTTAATAACATATATTAAATACTAATTTGCTCACTTACAGTCTTATAGTGTTTTTAATTTATTATTCCAAAAAGGCAAAAAAGCTAAAGAACATAAAATTTAAAATATCCAATTAAATATTAATGTATTTTGCAACATAATTATGTCATAAATAGTTCAGTTACTTGAAACATGTGCCATAGTGAATATAAATCAATTGGAGTTCTGATGTGGAATCACCATGCATTGCAAAACTTCTTAGAAACTATCAGGTTTTCATATTTCAAGGTTGAGAGATAAGCAGTTCAAGAACGTGTTGCATCTAATTTTATAACTACAAAGAAGGGATGGGATGAAACAGCTTGCAGAATGAAGAGAAGTATACATCAAAATGTAGGAAAGTTACTCAAAAAAATAACGTTATTTGCAAGTATATAACTGTTCTTTTTCAATCATGTCATGAATATGGATCGTATATGAATGCTCTGATAATAACTTGAAAGTGAAATGATATATTGGTTACAGTATTGCCCAATTTTCTGAAAATTTGAAAAAATAAGCTCTAGAAGAGCTCCTGAATATATAGTTTTAGTAGATTTTAAAGTTCTGACTCTTGATCATTTGTCAGCCTTTTAATTCTGTTTCATCTGTTTTGTTTCAGTTATGTCTGGTGCTAAAATCAAAACATTTAATTATTAAAATTTTCTTTGTTGAATTTGGAAGGTGGCATCCTACTTTTTCTTGTAATGTAATTCTATAAAAAATTTAATGCTTTTAATAAACTATAGCAATAACTAATTGCATTTTTATTTAACTGAATCAGACTGAAAAGTAAAAAAATAATATTCTTAAGAATATTATACTTTCTGCATTTATTGCTTTTAAATAGCTTGCAATAGATTTGAATGAAAAGTGAAACAATGCAAAATCATTTTTCCACATTAATAACTCTTTTGGGATAGTAAAATAATAATAAAAAGTAGAAGAAGAAGATCTGAAATGGTTTAAATTTTAATGGTTGTCCTAAAGGGCTCTTTGAAAGTGATTTATAAATAAAGATTGTACAGATGGAAGACTGAAACATTTTAAATGATACCAGAACAGACATTTAAACTTACACAGGAACGTTCTATATCTTCTGTGTATTTGAAATGTAAAAATATTGAATGTTTTAAATTAGATATATTGTAAATTCAGTACATTTTTATTGAAATCAATCCAGTTCAAAAGTCAAAAAATATTTTCAAGAATTGCATCTGTTGCTTTTAAATAGTTTAATTTGTTAATCCATAATAGGCAGATTGAATCTGAAAGACAAATAGCTTGCATTTGTCTTTCAGATTGCATTTTATTGAATGGCAACAGATTCAATTGAAAAATGAAACAATGCAAAATCATGTTTCAAGACATGTAGCCATTTTAGTCCTATTTCAATTTTTTTAACTCTTTGCGGCTAAAAAATGGAAATATACATTTCTGTTCAAATTAATGTGTTTATATCAGTGATCTGAAAGTGGTGGCTGCTGAAGCAATTTAATGCAACCTGCCAGTACTTTTCAATAATATATTTGCTTCAAATACGTTACCTAAATATGAAGATTTTAATTATTTGAAGTCTGAATTTACATTATTTTCATTACCATTAAAAACTAGCCTAAATAGTGCACCAGATCTATAAATTGAGCTAATTAATTTGCTGAGTTATTCTTATTCAAAGATTTAAAGGTGTATATTTAATTAATTTTTATTTGCACTTATCAAAAGACAAGTATACTCAAATATGAAATGCTGCACTAAGAATAGTCATTTTGTTTGAGGATATATTTGTGAACAGCTTTTTATTGCTGTTAAAAATGAATAAGAAAAAAACCTGATTCACTGATCAGCATCTTTATTACATGATGAAGCAATTTCTCTCCAGTATATGGACATTAAAAATAAATTTTGTATTTATATATAAAATTTATAATTATTTGCATATAAATATATATATTTTAATTTATATGTTCAAGAAAAATTTAAATAAATAAAGAAAAGAGACTAAATTATTATTTCTTCTCTAGTTTTGTCTCACTTGTAAAGTTTTCTCTGAAAACTTAAAAGATTTTCATAATGTATTTAGTTTTAATTTAAATTAAATTAAGCTACCCAATGCTTAATTAAACATGTTAGAATCGTTAGTTTTAAAACTTTATAGTTAGCTGTCAATATATTTGAATTTCAAAGCGTTAGAAATAAATATAAAATCTGATTTTTTTTCCATGCATGTTTTGATAAGTAATTTGTAAACGAAATTTTAAATTTAGTTTTTTTTTTTTTTTTTTGTTGTTGTTGTTGTTGTTGATAAAAATTTTCCGCTTTGCAAGAAAATCTTATTTCATTAATGAAGAATTTTAGAAATAATAATAAAGGCATTTCTGATTTGTGAGCAGCTTTGCAAAGCTGAAATATTTTATCAAGGGGACTAACAGGTGTATGATTACAAGAACGCTTCACCTTACGTCAGACAAGGCTACGTCAGTGTATGCAAAGGTTGAAAGCAGGCGATTATAGAACTCGTGGGTTGCTGCAATGTACTTGGCGAAGTTCATCAGCCGCCAATTGTTATCTGTCGGCAGCTCGTATTTCCGCCTTCCTTCTGTTGTGAATGGAAACTTTTAACTTTTTTTTTTTTTTTTTTTTTTTTTTTTTTTTTTGCTACCGAATTTGCTCTGAAAGGAGAAAAAGCCTATAATGGGTGTAAACGAATTAGCGATCAGAAAGGAATTTCTAAAGTTAGAGATGCTGGAGCACTACGAAAGGTGCTATGAACAGTTAAATAAATAAATTAAAATGAGTCTGAAAAGATTTAGAGCTAATAGTCTCAAACTCGCGGAACACATGCGGCCTGCGAAGACATTTATTTAAATTACATATTTCTTGCAAATTCAGCATTGCAAAGATTCCAGGTTTTTGTTATTTGAAGGCCTCTTTATACTTATTAATTTACAATGTGATTGGTATAAATCTTATTCAAGGATTTGAAAATACAGCTTTTATCACCTTTTATTTGTACTTATTAAAAAATAAATAAGCTCAGTTACGAATCTGTGATAACGTAATTTCTCTCTGAGGCTACAGACTTCATCACTATCTAAACGCTGTCAAGTGTCAAGCTGTAGTAAGAAATAAAGTTATTATTTTGCAAGTAGTATCAAACTTCCGTACAGTGCAGGAACGGCAACACTGTACGGAAAAAAAACATTCTTATCTCCAACGCGCGAGACTTTCTATCGGAAATTCTGAAGACATGCTGCTTTTAAATATTTTTAGCCCAAATGCTCTCGAAACGTGTATGTGTGTGTATATGCAAAAAAAAAAAAAAAAAAAACGCCCCTTTGGCCGTAATAAAAAATATGAAAGCTTCTTTTTTTTTTTTTTTTTTTTACTAACCACATTTTTAGGCAGCGAACCGCTCTAGAGGCTTGCAACGTCTGTCTGTATCACTTATGGACTGATATACAGGGAGTTAAAGTTAAAATTACTGATTATGAGTATTAATAAGTGATTATAGCATATCAATGGCCGAGTGGATAAGATCGCTGAGCACTGGAACTTTGATCCATGTTCGAATTCTAGCGAGCAGTCTAGCTGCATGAGCGTGTTTGCCATTTTCCCGCGATAACATGAATACTTTTAAATCTTAATTTTTATTTTAAATGTGTCTGTATAAACCTTGGCTTCGTTTAAAATATAGACATTCTATGCGTAGACAATTCACTTTCAAATAATTCAGATCTGAAAATTTAGAAAGTTTTCATAATTCTTTTATATTTAAATTAAATTAAGTTATTAATTAAACGTATTAAAATTTCGCGTGCCAGCTTCTTGCTATTTGACGAAACATAAGATATTGAATTTTATTTTAAAATTTAACCTGTGCTTTACTGATTAACAAAGTAAGCGGAATGAAGTAGCAATGAAACACAGTTCTTTATCTTTGTTATTATTAATTACTAGCTGAACAGATGAAATAACAGACTGGTCTCATCAAAAGCGTTACATTTTTCTTTTCAGCCCAAAAGCACTTGAAGAATATTGGAAATTTGGCCCATGTTCGAATTCTAGCAGATGATATAGCTGGATCAGCGTTTTCGCCATTTTTTCGATGTATAACGTGAATACTTCTAAACTTTAATTTTGATTTTAAATGTTTCTGTATAAACGTTGGCTTCATTTAGACCAGGGGTCTCCAAACTACGGCCCGAGGGCCACATCCGGCCCGCGGACAGATTTTGTCCGGCCCGCGGAGAGCTAGCATACTTGAAAACTCCTTTTAGAGAACATATTTTTTATAGCAAATTAAATTTAGTTTACTGAAGTATTCTAATTTTATGTTGAATAATTATTAATATGACATCTACATTGATATGGTCATGGGCTAACTACTCATAATATTGTTGTAGGCTTATTGTTATTGTGATAAGTTGGATAAAGAAAGAAACACAGAATTGTAATGAGTAAAGACATGTATAATATGCAGAAAATTTAACTTCAGTATATAATAACTAACAAATTATTGTTGAAATGAATCCAACTAACATTTTTATAAATTTTAAATAAAAACATAACTTATAACAAGCATAATGACATATGAAATACTAATGAGATTTATGTAATTGAGATTTTCCACTGACAATAGTTTGTAGTTGTGGACTAATTTTACTTGTACCAATTATTAAAAGAGATTTAAAATGCTCATCAGTTAATTTAGATCTGTAAACATTTTTTGTGTACTTCATTTTGGAGAAGGTCTTCTCACACAAATAAGTAGTACCAAAAACAGAAAACAGCCCACGAGCAAATTTATGCAAATTATCAAATTGTATCAGTGGAAGACTCTTATAAAATTCTAACAAAGATGAGTTTTGATATTTGTTCTTAATTATATCACTGCACTGTAGATCAATCATTTCCATTTGAAGTTCCGGGGCTAGGGTTTCAATGTCAGTATCAAAAGGCATCAAAGTCCGAGAAACGAGTATCAAAATTTATTTTCAAAGCACTCAAAGTTTCGATTGCAAAATCGATAGGAAACTCAGTCTCAGTGGTGTGGCTGAATATTTCACATGTTTTAAAATGTGAAAAACATTTACTTCGTAGTTGTGATTGAAACAGTATCAATTTCTTCCGGAATGATTTGATTAGTGTATAAATCAGGAAGATGCTGGTTTTCTCCTTGCAATCTCAAATTCAGTTCGTTCACATGTTTTGTCAAATCAACATAGAATGCTAACTTCCACAGCCATGCGTTCTTTTGTAATTCAGTAAGAAGGCGATGCTTTTCATTCAAAAAAATTTCGATCACTGCTCGAAGTTCAAAAAAGCGCTGAAGGACTTTCCCACAACTAAGCCAACGTACGGCAGTATGATAAGGTAAGTCATTTTCTCCAATCTCTTCAATAAATTGTCGGTGATTCAGCCCAAAAGATCTGATAAAATTAACAGTTGATATGACTGGTTTCAGAACTTCAGACATATCCAAACATTTTCCGCACAAAGATACAATGTAATGAATGATACAATGTAAGACTAATGGTTTTGAACCACCGTCATTTTCTACAGCCTTTGACACAAGCGCGACCACTCCTTTATCTTTCCCACTCATGTTTTTGCCTCCATCAGTGTAATATATTTCAAGTTTTTCCATCGAAGGTTCTTTTGATTAATGGCCATTTCAACTCCTTTAAAAATATCTGTACCAGTAGTTGTGCCA